GAGCATTTAATAAAATTCAACACCCTTTATGAATAAAAACTCTTACCAAAGTGAGTATAGAGGGGGAACATATGTCAACATAAGAAAAGTTATTTACAACAAACCCAAGCAAACATAATACTCAACAGTGAAAAGCTGAAAGCCTTCCTGCTAAAATCTGGAACGAGCAAGGATGCCCACTTCTATTCAACAGAATACTGGAAGTCCTAGCTGTAGCAATCAGACAAGAAAAAGAAGTAAAAGAGATCTAAATTGAAGAGAAGAAGTAAAATAGTCACTATATGTGGATGACATGACACCATTTATAGAAAACCCTCAACAGTGCACATAAAAACTACCAGAGCTGATAAACGCATTCAGCAAGGTAGCAGGATACAAGATTAACATATAGAAATCTGTTGCATTTCTTTACCCTAATAATGAAATATCAGAAAAGGAAAGAAAAAAAATCACTTTAAAAAATTGCATCAAAAAATAAAATACTTAGGAATAAATCTGACCAAGGAGGTGAAAGACTTATATGCAGAGAACTATAAAACACTGATTAAAGAAATTAAAGATGATTTAAAGAAATGTAAAGATATCCATGCTCTTGGATCAGAAGAATTGATATAGTTAATATGGCCATACTATCCAAAGCAATCTATAGATTTATGTGATCCCTATCAAATTACCCAAGACATTTTTCACAGAACCAGAACAAATAATCCTGAAATTTATATGAAATCACAAAAGACCCAGAATTTCCAAAGCATTACTGAAGAAAAAGCACAAAGCTGGAGGAATAACCCTCCCGGACTTCAGACAATACTACTCAGTAATCAAAGCAGCATGATACTGGCACAAAAAAAGACATATGGATCAATGGAACAGAAGACAGAGCCCAGAAATAAACCCACATACCTATGGTCAATTAATCTTTGATAGAGGCAAGAATATACAATAGAGAAAAGACAGTCTCTTTGACAAGAAATGTTGGAAAAGCTGGACAGCTACATATAAATCAATGAAGTTAGATCAGTTCCTCACACCACACACAAAAATAAACTCAAAATGGCTTAAAGGCTTAAACATAAGACAAGACACCATAAACCTCCTAGAAGAACACATTGGCAAAACATTCTCTAATATAAATCATAGCAATGTTCTCCTAGGACAATCTACCGAAGCAATACAAATAAAGTAAAAATAAACAAATGGGACCTAATTAAACTTATAAGCTTTTGCACAGCAAAGGACACAATAAATAAAATGAAAAGACAACCTACAGAATGGGAGAAAATATTTGCAAATGATGCAACTGGCAAGGGCTTAATCTCCAGAATATACAAATAGCTCATACAACTCAATAATAAAAAAATAAACAACTCACTAAAAAAAATGGGCAGAAGACCTGTTCTCCAATGAAAACATACAAATGGCAAATAGGCACATGAAAAAACGCTCAATATCACTAATTATCAGAGAAATGTAAATCAAAACTACAATGAAGTGTCATCTCACACTAGTGAGAATGGCCATCATTAAAAAGTCCACAAATGATAAATGCTGGAGAGGGTGTGGAGAAAAGGGAACCCTCCTACACTTTTGGTGGGAATGTAGTTTGGTGCAGCCATTATGGAAAACAGTATGGAGATACCTTAAAAAAAATGAAAATAGGCTTACCCTATGATCCAGCAATCCCACTCCTGGGCATATATCTGGAGGAAACTCTAATTTGAAAAGATGAGTTTGTGCCCCTATGTTCATAACAGCACTATTTACAATAGCCAAGACATGGGAGCAAACTAAATGTCCATCAACAGATGATTGGATTAAGAAATTGTAGTATATCTATAGATAGATATATCTATATCTATCTATAGATATACAGATATATATAGATAAACACTACTCAGCCATAAGAATGAATGAAATAATACCATTTGCAGCAACATAGATGGACCTGGAGATTGTCATACTAAGTGAAGTAAGCCAGAAGGAGAAAGAAAAATACCATATGAAATCCACTTATATGTGGAATCCAAAAAAGAAAAAAGAAAAAAAAGACACAAATGAACTTATTTAGAAAACAGAGACAGACTCACAGACGTAGAAAACAAACTTATGGATACCAGGGTGGGAAGAGGGTGGGGAGGGATATATTGGGAGTTTGAGATTTGCAGATACTAACTACTACATATAAAATAGATAAACAACAAGGTCCTACTGTATAGCACAGGGAACTATATTTAATACCTTGTAATAGCCTAAAATGAAAAAGAATATGAAAAGGAATACACATATATATGTATAAATGAATCACTATGCTGTACACCAGAAATTAACACAACATTGTCAATCGAATATATTTTGATTGAAAAAAGAATTGGAGCATTGTTTCAGATCTCAATCTTAGCTATATATCGGAATCACCATTAAATCCCGGGAGATACATTAAATTAAATGCTTGCCATACATTAAATCACTATTAAACCAGGGGAGAGTTAAAACCAAAGATGCCAGAACCCACCCCCAGAACAATTATATCAGATTCTCTGTGGGTAGGGTCTGGATCTTGGTAGTATTTTCAGCTCCCCAGGTGACCAATAATTCAGAGAGCCGTGCAGTCTCTGAAGCTCCTTCACGAGGCTGTTTAGTGCAGAGTGATAAGGAGGTGGGGAAGGCCTGTTTTTAGGTCTTTGTGCAGTATTTGCCTGTTTTTCAGGCCAGTTAGTCTCATCTAATGGTTCTCCATCCTTGGTCTATCAGAACCACCGAGAAGTTTTAAAAATCCTAATGTGCAGACCATACCCCTTACCCATTAAATCAGAAGCTCAGGAGGAGGGACCCTGGCATCTGTAATTTTTAAAGCACCAAGGCTTTTCCCATGTGGAGACAGGGTGGAGAACCCCTGCCTCAGTTAGAGTCTGAGACCTGTATCTCATCAATTCTTCAGCAATAAATGCCAGTTTGCAGGAAATATGGCAACTAGGAGAACAAGTCAAATAACACCATGGGGAAGCAACCAACCAAGTCAAGGAGGCAACCCAGTTTCTCTAACAAACACATCAATGGCATTAAAAAGGCAGAAGACTTCTGATATTCTACTTTCTCTATTTTGGGGTACAGATGTTCACATTCTTTATAATAAAAAGGGATTTAAAAAAATATTTGAGGATGAAGTCCAGGAATTTGCATTTTTGACACTGTCCTCAGGGGGTCCTGTTGAATATTTACATTTTAAGGATTTCTGCTCCATAGCAGGGAATTCATTAAGCCCCAGGGAATTCTTGGTTCCCACTCAAGTGAGTTCCAGTACTGAAAGCCCAGTTCTTCTCAAGTTTTGGACTGGCTAGGTTTTTGCTGGGGTTGGCTAGACCTGCAGTGCCCAAAACAGGAGCCACCAGCCACATATGGCTGGTCCAAATTGAGATGTTCCATCAGTGTAAAATATATACCAGATCTCAAAGACTTTGTACAGGAAAAAAAAAAGGTAAAGTGTCAATCATTTTTTATATAGATTACATGGTAAAATATACTAGTTTAGATAAATTGGGTTAAATAAAATCTATTAAAATTGATTTTTGTTTTTTGTAAGATGGCTACTAGAATATTATAAATTACATATGTGGTTCATATTATGTTTCCAGTTAACAGTGTAGCTCTGGGGCTTTGCTTCTCAAAATGTGGTCCGCTGACCCGCAGCAGTAGCATTCTCTGGAAGCTTGTTAAAAATGTAGGCTTAAGTTCTATTCAGTCAGACTCTGTGTTTGACCAAGATCCTTGTGTCTCTGCCTGCCTTTCAGACTCTCATCCTTTAACTTTTTGCACTGTCTGAAACTCTTGTGGCTCAACAAAACCCAGCACTCATTTACTCCATTCCCCTGCCCCAGCATTGCATTCAAAATCTGTAAGTACATCCTTATCTTCATCATCATCAAGTTATCCACCCTTCTTCGTAGAGCCAGGAAATAAGAAATTTCCTCCTCTTTTAACCTCTTTCTTGCAATTCAAGCTTTTAATTTCCAGCTCTGTTCTCAATCACTAGATAATACCAGTTACAATTTTTCTCTCTTTAATACTTCCTCTTCTAGGCCTGCTTTAGATTTCGTTTTCTGTTCCCCAGCTAATTTCATCCTTGTCTCCTAGGACCCATTCTCCAGCCCTTCCCATCATGATCAGCCCCTTTTTGAAGGCACACTCAAACAAATTCACTGAATGCTGAGGTGTCGCCAGCCTGTTCTTTATGGTAAATCTGAAAGTGGCTAGTGCCAGGCAGATCATTTGGAGAGAGGACTTTGATAAATGTTCCTGTGTTTGCAAGGTCAGACAAAAGAAAAAAGAAAGAATAAGGAGGGGCTGAACTACCTCCAAGACCAAACAGGAAACAGTAAAGTGAAGTGCTTTTGCCTAGAATGGTGGGGGTTTGATGGAATTAAGTGGAGAGTATGCAGGAATTTAGCAATTCTAATTCTGGCTCTTTCCTCACCTTCCTTCACAATTTAGGATTACTCTTCTTTTCCATAGGGGATTTTATTTTTTTAAGGGTGGGATAAAAATAAATAAACAAACAAAAATCAACACTCTTAAAAAATAAAAACAAACCAGTTTCCTTGCTCGTAAGCAACACATTTTACACAGGCCATGACAATGATTCCCTCATTTGAGGTTTCTATGAGCACTTTATTGGTCAAATGGATAATATCTTCATTTTGAAAACCTAAATAGTTTTTTAAGCAAGTCCTGATTCTAGAACACCTCACTCATCTGAACTAGCTCATAAAATCCATTACGTTGACTTGGTGACTCAGGGACCCTCACTTCCACAAGTGAAATGAGCAATTTAGTACTCAACAGAGAGCCTCTTTGTGACAAAGAGGAAGTTTGAGGGCTATGATGCCCGTAGTAAAAGCTAGAGACATTCAGTACTAGGAATCTTTGGAAACTGGAAACAAGTTCACTTTTACTAAAGGGATCTCATGGAGAAAGCAGTCCTATAAAATTCCTAGTGCTTTTTTTCCTTCCTCCAGTTTTCAAAAACTTGCCTCATCTTCCAAGGCTCTTCTCAGCTTGGCTCAAAATGAACCCAGGCCTCTGGAAGTAAAGCATTATAACCACCATCTAATGTTTTCCTGCAAAAAAAAAGGGTTAAAACAATTAGATTCCCTCCACGGTGTGACAAAATTCCATCGCACTTAACATTTTTATATTTTACCCTTTAAAAATTAACCATATTCTGCATTTCCAAAACACTTTACTTCCAGTAATTAATATCACCGTTGGGAAAGTGACTTTTTATTCTTTTCTCCAGGCAAACAAGCTGAGAGTTTAAGTGATTTACCCTTTCTGAGAGAGGAGGTCACAGATAGAATTCCAGGATTTGAACCTGTACAAAGACCATTAAGGCAATTTTTCAGAGACTTAACAAATACCCACCTGGTGATGTTAAACTACCTTTGAAGAAGGCAGCTGTTGGCTCAAATTGAGGCTTACATGGAACCCTGTGGATTTTGAGGGTAAGGAAGATCTATATGAGGAGGGTTGACATCCTTCCCAGGAGGCAGCCATATGGAAGGCAAGTGACCCAGTGATTTCCAAAGCTATTTCTTGAACACTGACAGTATGCACAGGAGTCCACTTGTATGACCTTATTATCTCTCCAGTGCGCTGAGTTGTATGTCTTATTATCTCCACTTTACAAATAAAAATATAAAAACCTTAGAGAGATGTAACAACTTCTCTAAAGTCAAAGGGTAAAATTTGAGCCAAGAATCTGAAGCTAAAAACTCAAGTTCTAACCAATACCCTCCTGGTATTAACCCTATGATTATATCTGCAGAAGTCATTCACCTTCTTAAACCAAATATCCACACCTACTCTGCTTCATTTACAGAACATCAATCATAATGATTTCTTATTTAAATTTGAAAGCTTAGTAGATTAAATCTTACCGAGTTCAAAGTTAACACTGTTAAAGCAAGACATGCTACCTCATTATTTCTATTTCTTAATTGTAAATTGCATCTTAGAACAGAGGAAATAATTGGGGATGAAATAAATGACAAGGGCATTGATCAATTAAGAGTATTAATAGCTCTTATTTTCAAATCACTGAAAGCGACAAGCTGGGTCTAGGGCATATCCATATCAGTATATCTTTAATTCTCTTTCCATCTATTTTGAATACCATAATTGCTTTATTTTCAGTAAGAGAAAAGGACAAAGAGGCATCTAGAATATTGCATACTTGATTGTAAATTCATTTTATTTAAATGGAGACAATTTCCATTTCCTCCATTATACCATTTTTTCCTACTCTATTTCTTAGAGATTTTTGTAGTAAGCCTTAAAGAAATTACTAACATCATTTAAAAATATAGGTATCTATTAGTGTGCAAGCTCATCAGTAACACTAAGATGATGGTAGAGTTTTCTGTGAATACTGTTGTCCATTTGCTATTTATCTATGAAGGTCTCATCTTTTCGGCCTTTAGCTAAAGGGTTACTCTGTCATTTAGACCTCCTTATCACATTCTCACTTTTGCTCATGTAATTCTGAAATCATCAGGGTTTTGTTTTTTAGTAAAAGTTTAGACATTGTAAGATTGCAAACTTTGGCTGAATTAAGACCGTTGACTTTTTTTTTTTCATCAGAGTGTTTTATTTGAACTATTGATTATCATTAAAATTCTGGAAATTTCACATGTGTGCATATTTTTCACATTCTCTTGAAAAATCAGAAGATCTGGATATACTGGGCCCATGTTCCCTCACGTGACTTGGTGGAGAATGCCTTCTAGTGACAGGTTAAGTATTGTCCATTTCACTAGTCCCCACTATCTCATATTCTCAGACTTGGTACCTCCCTTCAGTTGAACTTGGGTTTGTGATCTCCTCCATACTCCTCCACTCCCTACCTCATCTGCTGTGTTCAGAGATGTATTCCTAATATCGATAATAAAACCTGGCACACAGTAGATGCTTGATACATATTTACTGTAAGAACAAGGAGAAGAAAGAATAAACACCAATGGATATGTGAAGATGAGGATCAAGTCAGTGCCTTGTGGAGGATTTAAAATATGTCTACAACTTATCCGGCACTTCTCTTTATAAAAGGTGGAGATTCCCCTCCCCTTAAGTGTGGGACAGACTTAACCACTTACTAGTAATGAATAGAATGTGGCAATGACAGTATGTGTGATTCTTGAGTCTGTGTCGTAAAGGATACTGTCACTTTCACCGTGCTATCTTTTGGATCACTCACCCTGGGAAAGCCATCCTCAGTATCCTGAGGCCACTCAAGCACTCCTGTAGAGAGAGTCATATGGCAATGCACTGAGACCTCCTGTCACTAGCTAGCACCATCCTGCCAGGCACCTGAAAGAGCCACCTTAGAAACAAGCCCTCAGCCAAGCCTTTGGGTGACTGCAGTTCTGACTGACATCTTAACAGCAACCTCAAAAGAGACCCTGAGCTAGGACCACCCTGCTAAGCAAGCCACTCCTAAATTCCTGACCCTTGGCAACTGTAACATAATAAATGCTTATTTTCTTAGCCACTAAGTTTTGGAGTAATTTGTTACATGGCACTAGATAACTAACACATGCTTCAGATTAACCTAAGCTGATTTGCTTGTTCATAATTCATGTGTCCTTTCTGATGGATATTGATAACCTCCAATACTTAGGGTGGGTAAGGACTGTAGTTCCTCTTCTTGACAATATGACTGAACAACAACAAAAAAAAACAAAGGCAAGTCTCAGATCTAATTCTGCCATGTAGACCAGTAGACACAAAACAATCATGCATCTAGTTTTGCGAACTCAGTAAAGTCCCTGTTCTTTGTCATTTTAGGCCCACTGATAGCATTTCACACGAAAGGTTTATTCCGAAACTAATGTGACCATGCTGAAATTGCAGGATCTACTAATCTTCTAGTTAAAGTGGGTGAAAGAATCCTCCAGTAAGTCAGTTGAGGTGACACAGAACTGAACTGGGTTATAAACTTCAGCTGTCGCTCAGGGGGCCATAGGCTTCTGGGCTCACCAGTCGATTATATCTCAGCCATGCCAGAATGAAGACGCCTGTGCAAAACTTCCTGCCAACTTTACATCATTTCACACATGAAAGCTCATTTTTGATATCTTGTCTGCTGATTAATTAAAATTCTAGTGTGGATTCAGATAGGGATATTTGAAGCTCTTGGGGAAGGGGCTTGATTCCTTTTTTTAAAAATATGTATTTTTATTGAAGTATAGTCAGTTTACAATGTTGTGTCAATTTCTGGTGTATAGCATAATGCTTCAGTCATACATGAACATACATTTATTTGTTTTCATATTCTTTTTCACCATAAGTTACTACAGGATATTGAATTTAGCTCCCCGTGCCATACAGTATGAACTTGTTGTTTATCTATTTTATATATGTTAGTTAGTATCTGCAAATCTCAACCTCCCAATTTATCCCTTCCCATCCTCTTCCCCCCATCCTGGGTAACCATAAGTTTGTTTTCTATGTCTGTGAATCTGTTTCTGTTTTGTAAATAAGTTCATTTGCCTTTTTTTTTTTAAGATTCCAGATATAAGTGATATCATAAGGTATTTTTCTGACTTGATAATTTTCTTTTGTATTAGCTTGGTTTCTTTTTGGTTTCTGTGACTCTACTGTATGCTTTTGATTTGTGGTTACCTTTTTTTTTTTTCAAGTATGTTAAACTTACTGTATCTGTTTGCTTCAGACTGGTAGTCATGTATGCTCAAACACATCCTAAAAAGAATGAAGGAAAAAAAAAGAAAAAAAAGAGGAAGAGAGAAACCAAAAAATCTATATTTTCTTGCTCCCATCTCCCACCTTTTATGATTTTGGTGTCTTTTTTATTATTATTATTATTATTGTTGTTATTATTATTTATTTATTTATTTATTTACATCTTCATGTTTATTCTCTTGCAACTCATTGTAGTTGCTGCATTTCCAATTATGGTTTTCTCATTTCTATAGCTTCCTGCTTCTTTTCTAGTTAGAATGGGCCTTTCAATATTTCTTTTAGGATAGGTTTAGTATTGCTGAATTCTTTAAGTTTTTGCTTGTCTGTGAAATTCTTTCTCTCTCCTTCTACTCTAAAGGATAGTCTTGCCAGATAGGTATCCTAGGTTGCAGCTTTTTCTCATTCAGGACTTTGAATTTATCTTGCCACTCCCTTCTGGCCTGCAGTGTTTGTGTAGAGAAATCAGCTGAAAGCCTTATGGGGGTTCCCTTGTAACTAACTCTGTTTTTCTCTTGCTGCCTTTAGAATCATTTCTTTATCTTTAACTTTGGCCATCTTAAATTATAGTATGTCTTGGTGTAGGTCTGTTTGGGTTCTTCTTGTTGAGGACGCAAACCCTGTGCTTCCTGTACTTGGGTATCTGTTTCCTTCTTTATGTTTGGAAAGCTTTCAGTCATGATTTCTTAAATACCTTTTCAATTCCCTTTTCGCTGTCTTCTCCTTCTTTGACCCCTATTATGCATAGGTTGGCAAACTTTATATTATCCCACAGGTCCCTTATATTACTTTCATTGGTTTTTCCTTGCTTATCTGTCTGCTATTCTGATTGGGTGACTTCTGTTATCCTGTCTTCAAAGTCACTTCTGTGTTCCTCTGCATTATCTGGTCTGCTTTTGACTGCCCTCAGCTTGGCTCTTAACTCAGCCATTGAGTTTTCTGTTTTTAACTGACCCCTCTTTATAGTTTCTATTTCCTTTTATAGTACTCTCTGTCTCTATTCATAGTCTCTCTTATTTCCTTCAGTAGTTTTATCACCTCCTTTTTGAAGTCATGATCTAGTAGTCTGTTGAGATCTATCTCCTTGTTTGCTCTTTCAGGGGACTTCTCTGTTTTTTTAATTGGGAGTGGTTCCTCTGCTTCTTCATTTTACTTATTTTTCTCTGGCTCTATGGATTTAGGAGTACTATTTATCTACTGTGGTCTTGAAGGGCTGTTTTGTTTGTTTGTTTTTTTATTTAAAGTGGGAGCATTTCTGTGTAGACTGTGTGCATCTAATAGTTTTGTAGTGAGGGCTGTTCTTAGTGTGGATGGCTGCCATGTCTTTCTTCTGTGTGTGTTGGCTGTTATCTGTCTGATTGGG